GCCGCTGGCCAAACAGGTTGCCGTAAAAGAGGCAGCCGGTGACCTTGCACAGGGCCTCCCCGAACACCCAGTCATTGCCCAAGGCATGGTAGGCCACGCGGAAGGGCAGTGTCAGCACGAAGAGCAGGTCGAGGGCCGCCAGGTTGGCCAGGAAGATGTTGGCAGGGACAGTGGCCGTCCTGGTGCGCAGGAAATACCAGAGCACAGAGAGGTTTCCGGCCAGGCCAAGCACAAAGACCAGGCTGTAAACCACAGGAAACAGCACATACTGGAAGTCGGCTTGTTCCCCACAGCCTGAGGTCTCATTGGAGGGCAGCGCTGAGACATTCACACCCACGGACCACCAAGGCTGAGAGGAAGGGAGAGAGATTAGAAAGGCTCTGCCAGTGCCCTTCACTCCAGACCTGCAGCCCCTGCCAGCCCAATCCTGCCCCCCGCCCTGCCGGTATCCCTCACTTCAGACCCACAACCCCTATCAGCCCTTCCCCAGTCCTGCCAGTGCCCCTCACTCCAGCCCCTCCAGCCCTCCTGACCGCAGCCCCCGCCAACCCAATCCTGCCCCATGCCCTGCTGGTGCCCCTCACTCCTGACCTGCAGCCCCTACCAACCCAATCCTGCCCCCCAGCCTTGCCAGTGCCCCTCACACACAAACCACAGCCCCTGCCAGCCCAAACCTGCTTCCCCCTAGCTCTGCCAGTGGCCCCACAAATAGGGATGTTAAAATGTGCCTAATTAAGTAGCCATGCAACTGCTGAAATTTTACACAGACAGACACCAGGTGGCAGTTGACTCCTCAGGAGCCGGTCGGTGCACAAGGGAGTCAGCTTTTAAGCTGGCCCCTCACTCCTGACGTGCAGCCCCTGCCAGCCCAGCCCTGCCGGTGCCCCTCACTCCTAACCCACAGTCTGCTAGTTTCACTTTCCAGTTGGTTTTGACAGCCACAGCTGGGCTGGGGCCCAGAAATCAGCTTTGTTTGTGTCCCATCTGGGGGCCCCTAGGGCAACGTGAGGGGTCATGTCCCCTCAGGAGCTGAGCTCCCCGATGCGGGTTAAGGATGTTCAAATGCATTTATTTAGGTAAACACGTAACTGCTGAAAAACTGAGCCACCTGTAGCACTGGGGAAGGGAAGGGAGGGGGGAGACACAGGCAGGAGGTGGTGCACACAGGAAGCCAACTTAAAAGCACAGACAGCAGTAAGGGGGGCATATACTGGCATATACTGGCTCTGCGGGAGCCAATATGTGCAGAGAGCCCCCATGCTGCTAACTCTGATCCGGGGAGAGGGGTGTTGTTGCATCCAACTATGAGAGTTAACTGATAACACATATTTACACTATCACATCCCTAGTGCAGGTGGGGCCTGGGTCCCAGAGCCCTGGGCACACTTGGGCCCAGAGGGATCCTGGGGGGAGACCTGTGGTTTCCCTGAAGGGTTTGCAGGCGGATATTGGGAAAGCCCAGGACAGCCTGGCACCCAGTGTCGCAACCAAAATGCCACTTAACGGGCTCTGCAGCCAGCTGAGCAAACAGGCGGGTCCCCGCTGGGGGAGGAGTGGGGGCCAACAGGAGCCGTCAAGCTCAGTGCCTGACAGGGGTGTGGGGTGGGAAAGGGGGAAGCCGGGCTCAGAGCCCAGCTGCATCCAGGTGGGCAGAAAGAAATTCAGGAGCAACTTGACAAAGAATTGCCACGCTCTGCTCTAAACCCTCCATCCCCCAGTGCCCCCAGCACCATCTAGTGGTTACAGCAGGGGGCCAGGACTCCTGGGTTCTCTCCCCTGCTCTTGGAGGGCTCTGGAATCTCCACAGAGACCCCCCCCCCATCCTATTTTGAACCCTGCTCTGTCCCAGACCCCATGGGCAAAGGGTCCATGGGCAAAGGGAAGAAACAATGTGGCTTCAGACCAAAGATCTGCCAGCCTGGCTCAGCTTTGGGACAGAACACCTGGGGGTGGGGGGAAGCTTAAAAATTCTCCCAGGTATCAGTTCTGAGGCCCCTTCATTCCCATAGCCATAGCCGGAGGAGGGGAGTATCAATCCCCTTCTCCTCCTTGGAACTTCTCTCTCCTTTGCCTGCTCAATCCTCCTCTCAGGACCTGGACTCCGCTACCTCCAGCCAGCCCCAGACACCCTGCCCTTCTTCCGCTGTCCCTCAAGCCAGAAGACCCCTGTCCCAGCCCCCTCAGCTATGTGACTCACCCCAGCCATGGGAACCGTCTCCTACTCCTGTTTCCGTAGAGTCCAGTCTCAGACTGAGCAGCTCGACTCACCCTGTTGAGAAATGCCCTGCCCCTCTCTCCAAGCAGGGAGGAGGTTCCCAGAAGAAAGGGGTGGGAGGAGAACACCCTAACCCTGGGCAGATCAATCCCCAGTAAATTCAGCCCAGCCCTGAGTGGGCTGCTGGTGGTCCCAGCAAGTCCTGGTTATGGGGTTCATGTGTTTGGGGTGAGGCTGCCCAGCTCTATTGCCAAGGGGCAGCTGGTCTATGCCTGGGCATCTTGCATGCTACCTGGCACCCTGCCAGAGGGGCACCAGCTGGTAGGCATTACACCAAGCGTACAGACCTGCCACAGCTCCCCGGCAGTGTTCTCCGCTCCCTATATAC